CCTCCGCGGCTCCGCGGCCGTGACGGCCGGGCCGGGCTCCGCCTCGGGGCGGGCGGTGGCTCTGCCGGGGGACGGGTGCCGGCACTTCCCGGCACTCCGCGGTGTTTCCCAGCGCTTTCCGCTCCTCTCGGCGCTCGGGAGTGGGGATGGCGGAGCGGCGACCCTGCCCGCTGCCCGCCTCGCTTCAGTGTCCGCCGATCGTGCAGGTCGTGTTCCCCGCGTGGAGCCCTGTGTGCGGAGCTCCGGGTTCCCATTAACCCCTCAGTGCCTCTGGCTGCTTGCCGCCACTGTTGTTCCATCAACCCCACAAGTATACAAAGCACAAATTCGCTCACTTCCCCCATATTTATTGATGCATACAATTATCCCAAAGGCGGTTGCCAAGAAGGTGGTGCCAGACTCTTCACGGTGGTGCAGGACGAGGAGTAATGGCCATAAACAAGAAGTTCCCCTTCAACATGAGCAAAACTTTACTTACACTGAGGGTGGCAGAGTACTGAAACAGGCTGCGCAGGGAATCTCCCTCTCTGGAGACATTTAAAACTATTGTGTTTTGGTTTTGTTTTTTGTCAAAGAGCTAAAGTTAGTGTCCAATCCCAACTCAAACTATGATTACGATATGATATATGGTAGGAAATGTTATGTGTAGAATATAATTATTTTCAACGGCTGTTTATACAGAACAGCACTAGGATATTGATGTTTTATTTAATGTTTCCATTACTGTTCTGCTTGAGTGTGCAAAACCAACCAGAATGGCACAGTTGTTACATTTGCTTTCTATGGCTTCTGTGGTTCTTGTTTAACAAATGATAAAAGAGCAGAAACAATAATCTGAGAGAATCGTATAGTTGTATCTTTAAACTCATTTAATGTGTTTAAATGTACAGACTATTATATACAGACTGTAGTAATGGATTAATTGAAATTTCAGCATTTAAAAATTATTTCTAAAAAGAGGAGTAAAATTACAAAAAAAAAAAAAACCACAAAACACCTGAAAATGACATTACTTTATAAATTAAAAACTCAATTTTTTAGCAGTATCTAGCAGCATTTTTAGTCTGTATAACTTAATAAGAATTGTGGTAATCTAATACCAGTGAAATGGTACTTGTCCATTTTTTAAAAAAGTTATTTTTAGTGCTTCTATACTATTATATAAATAATATTATTTATTACTTAAAGACTTATATCTCAATAAAGAACAAGTGTGAAATTTTAACTTCATGGCTATATTTCCCTTGTGGGACAAACAAGGGTTTGTCTTTGGGAAAAAAGGTGTAAAAAATAAGACTGTTCAAATCAGCTATCATAATTGTGTCTTAGTTGTGGCTTATTGTTAAGTTCAAGTGGTTTTCAGCTGAAATGAACTAATGTTTATGTGTCTGACTAACGGTTTGTTAATTTTGTTTTTGTTTACATTTTAAATAATGATGTGGTGCTGATATTTTAGTGATAGGCTTTTACAATTTTTTTTCTCCCTTAGTTTATTGCTCCCTTGTTTAAAACGCTCTGTTTTTGCAGAGAAGATGTACCTTACCAAACAAAGACATCCTAAACATTAAATGGCATACATCAACCTATGGGATCACTTAAAAATTGAGTGAGCTGAATGCTAACAAAAATGTGGATTCTCTCAGTAGCAGAATGATTATGTAAAGGTTTTGCTTATCTTCCTGCAGATATTACAGATAAGTCTGAGGATGTGTGACTCATGAGCTTTATATAATTCCTGTAACACTAATAAATGATAAGAAAGGAATTCTGAAAATCCTGTCATGCTGGGATTCAGTGTTATATTTGCTGTATTCTTTTAAGCAACAGAGAAATGTCCTTAGTCTCAGAACAAGGGACACCGAATTTCTAAGATGAAACATATCTTCTCCAATCTCTGAGGCTATTCTGGAATACAAACAAAACAATAGGAAAGGGTTCTAGGCAGTATTTGTGAGAGTTTTCCACTGTTTTGACATACTCTCTCTGAAGACACTGAAGTTAACATTCAATTCACAGGAGGTGAGGTTTTATCATGAAGCACAAACTGGCTATGATGCAGAAACAGAACCTCAAGCAAATGGTTGCCTGTGTAGAGGGAGGAACAAGAGGCAGGAACAATGAAGTTTCTTGTTGGACATTAACAAAGGCATTGAGGTAAGAGTGAGAAGAGCTGAAATGACAAGTAAGATATCAGAATTATTTGCTGTCATGTTGTCCCGTTAGACTTTTCAATATATTGCTGCTGCTGTGGTGAGCTGCAGTCTGTGGATAGGAACCATCTCTGCAGATGCAGGGTTACACCTGGTTAACACCAGCTCTGTTACAGAACATGTCAGAAGAATCACTTGAATGAGGAGCTTCCAAGTTTTGAAGCATTATAAAAACTTTCAGGCAGACAAAACCTTGTCAAGGCAAAAAAAAAAGCAAATTTTGAATTTTAGTGAAAACAATTAGATGGAATGGCATGAGGTGAAGTGCAGTGAAATTAAATGAAACTTGCTGAAATGATACTCACTGAAATAATGAGATTTCACTTCCTTTCATGGAAAGGGATGGGGGTGGGAAAGTTGAGGCCTAACTAGATCTTGTGAAAGCAGTTTCACGAGTGAAGATCCTGGTATAAATTCTTCACAATTATTTTTTATTTAAATGGTCTTTAGCCTTTTTTTTTTAAAGGTAGGATAGATTAAAGTAGAACCAGATTATAGAAGTAGAAGCCAAAATAATTTCTCATAGTATAATGTGATAAGGATGTCTTTGCCATGCAGTGGTTGACTAAGCTGCAATAATAAAACTGTCGCATGGTGACCAGGATAGTGGTCAGCCCTGGCTTGGAAGCCATGGATACAGGGTTGAATCTTCCCCTGGTTAGTCCTGACTCCACTCAAGACTAAGTGGCTTTTGGCAAATTATCTCACTTGTTGGGGAGGATGAAACAGGGAAACCTTATGAATATAATTGTTTAGCAAAAAGATTCTGAAAATATGAAACCTAGAATCGAAATAGAAATGAAAGCTAGCTTTGAGCCATAGGATACTGAGTGCTAGTTACTATATAACCAAAGAACAATAGTCTAGCCAGCTGAAGGAGAATCCATGTTGATTGAACAATACCCTTCTGCTGATAGAGAACCCAAAGGTCAAGCAGCAAGAGAAGAATTTGAAAGGTGGCTTTTAGAGTTTAAAATGTAACACTGTATGGTAATGTAGTAGTTCTTATAGGCTGTATAAAAATTCTTTAGAATGTGTGTCATATAGTGGTTGGTTACTGGGAATTAGAATATTCACTGTAGAAAAAGATAAAATGTATTGTAACAAGAACTTCAGTCTCTTACCCGCCCTTACTTGATCTTACTTTTGCCCTATTTTATCCACACCTCTTTTAACTCTTAACTTCTGCACTTCTCAACTCTTATTCCCTACTCCTACTCTCTCTCTCTCTCTCTTCTCTCTTACTTTCACCAGCTCTTACTTCTCTTATTCCCTGCTCTTACCCCCTCCAGCCCCTCTTTCTCTACCCCCTTAATTACCTTCTTCTCCCATGCTCCCCGACTCCCCTCTCCACTCTCTCTCCCTCCCTGACCACATGTACACTGTGGCTGACGGTGGAAACAGGTCTCTTTCTCCCTCTACCCAGATAATAAACTGCTTATACCTGAACAGCTTCACTCTGGAGAAGTCTCTCGCCTCGAGCTCGTTTGTACATCTATACTCGCTTTTCTGCTTTATCTATGAAATTAGGATAATATATCTGCATGCCAGCATTAAGAATTAATTGTCAGTTGCAGAGTGTGTGTTCAAAGCAAAGTATAAGTGCTAAATATTAGCTAGAGAGTAATTGGACTACTGTAATTTATAATATGCTCACATATGACATTGGCTTATAAAACAAGATCAACCTCTTCTCAAGTGCTGTAGAATGTTTAATTGTTACTAATGAACTTCTGATACTCAAAGTAGCTATCACCATGAGGCAGGGAATGCTACCAGTACCTGTCTGTAAGAAAGCTTAACAAGGAAGCTAATGCCTTTTTTTTTAGCTTGAAAAAAACTGAACATGTACACATATACCTACTTTAAATGCACAGTTTAAATTAATTTTTTTTTAGACAAAAAGCTTTATTTCATATCAAATAGAAACATGACATTACCCTACCTTTTCGTCTCTTTCAACTTAAATAAGTTGAAAATGCTTGCTGCTTTCTGAGCAGCTTTGCTTAGTAGTTGTCACTGCAATATATGGAGGATGCCACAGGGAAGAGTGGAAAATATTCTGTGTATCACTGAAAGTGAAGAAAGAAACTCTTTTACTGAAATCTGAGTTGCCCAACAGACTTATTCAAAGTGTTTTAGTGGCCCTATGTCTGCCAAAAGTTCAATTCCAACCTCTTGTTTTCTTTTAAGGGATTGGGAGAAGAAGAGACAAGCTAAGAGCAAATTAAGAGATGTCAACAGAAGGATTGCTGAGAAGGGAGCATCAGTTGAGCTAAGGCAGTCATAGCTGTTAACATTTAAAAAGCCCTTTCAAGGACTAACAAAATAAAGGATAGAAAGGTACTCATCCTGAAAATGGCTTTTATATTTCTGAACCTGTTGTAAAAGCTTTTTTAGAACACTTCCCATCTAAAACCAAAATAGTTCCTATCATAAACAAGACAGACAGCACATCAATACAAAGATCATCTTCACTTATTTTATTTCTGGACTAGCAGAAAAGGACATTATTCAATACCACAGAAAACAAGAAATGCTGCCCCAGTTTAACAAAGGAAGAAAACAAAGAATGGAGAGATTATGTCCTTGAACCTAGGTCTCTGCAGGCTTCTAGTAACCCTGCATGTATTAGGCTTCCACAAAGATTTTTTAGAATTCACATTTTTTAAAGTCATAAAAGGTATGTTAAGAAGCTTTGTTTTGGTACAGTCCTAGCACAGAAAATTCCCAGGTAGTTTTTATATCAGTGTATCTCCTACCTGGTGTTGATGTGAACCAGCCATGCCAAAATAAGGAAATACAGTGGTTTACCTTCTTAAGATTTCACATTGTATTAAAATGACTGGGCCTCTTCACTTACCACTTATCACTACAGGGTACAGTGCTAGAATACCGTAAATACTGAGTAAATACCTAAATACTGAGTAAAAATCATTTTTATTGCAATGAAGATACAGCTTTATATATCTCACTTCTTTCCTTTTTTTTCTCTTTTGTGCTTGCTAGTACATAAAAGCCTCAATAAAGACATTTCACAGAAACTATCTGCCAAGTTCAATTATTCTACTGTGAGTCTGAATAAGAAGAAAGTCTTCAGTATTATCAAAATTAATTGTGCTTGTTTAGAGCGAAAACTCTGTAGATCCTTCCTTGGGTGTATCTTCTGTTTCCTTTGGTATACTGTTTCATCCATCTGTAGTAAATCAGAATACTTTAGGGAAAAGAGAATCTTAACATTTTTATCTGTTTGTCTTGGTGAATTTAACTTATGAGTAATTTGAAGGTAGTGTGGAAAAACCACTGATTAACATACTCTAGTGAGCAACACTCTGCTGGAAAAGGTTGAACAAGATTAACATTGTCCTTTTTTGAGTCTCACAGTGCTGTGTAAGCCAAAGTCTTTGAAGTCTGTTGAAAATCATCTGTAAACAGAATTTGTTTCTTCATATAACTGTTTCTTTTCCTAACACCTTTGAATCTTTTATTGGATGAACAAAGAGAAATTAGAAGGAAATGTAAGTGGTATGGGAAAAACTGTGACTCTGTGTGCTCTCCTTCCTAACCCTGTATGATTGTAGTAGTTTCTTCTCCCTAAGGACTTCAGTAACATTTGTGGAAATGGTCAGTGGAAGGGAAAAAGAAATAGCACCAGGTATCTTTCTCCTTCTGGTTTTGCTTGATCCTTAGAGAAATATTTCAAAGGTGTGAAAAAACAGGTGTGCTAAAGCTCTGATATGTCTGCACAGCTCCCAAGTCAGGGTCCTTTTTGAAAAGAAATGTTTCTCCTCAACTTTCATCATCAGTAGAGCACACAGACTTTTCATATGTACCCAGTGTCCAAATAACCTTTGAAGGCTGCAGAAGACTTTTTTCCTGTCAGTATCAGCACCTCCCTGATAGAGCTATATCACAATACTGTCTGCTGCCTCTGCATCAGAAGATTTTTTTCCCTGCGATAACAGTTTCATTAATTTGTGCCCTGACAGTATCTGTTTAAAATGTGTACTCATTACCCCTCTTATTTAGCCAGTTTGGATGTGTTCTGTGACTTGTGTTCCTTTAAATGCAGGCAGTGTCTCCTTAGGAATGCTGATTTTTGCTCCTCTTGGCTACTGGAAGATCTCTGCAGAGGACATACAGATACATATTTGCTTAATCCTTGTACTGGGCTCATGGGTTATTAATTGTGTTTCAGTCACAGCCTACTGGCTTTGAGTAACTGCGAGAAGCACAAAAATAAAAGGGAAATTCATTACTTTCTTTTACCTGTTTAACACCAACATCTTATTTCCTACTTATTTCCTACTTATTTCCAGTAATCCAAGAGTCTATAACATACTGCTTTTACAGTCTGATAGCATTTAAAATGTTTCTGTCATCAAACCTTTAAAATTAATGTAGTGGCCTTTTCAAGATCACCACTCTATTAATAAACTATCAACTATATGGAAGCATTGTCAAGAACCTACTTTGCCTGTACTAAAGTAGACTTTACCTTTTTGATATTCATACTCTAATGATAAAAGACAGTAAGTTGCAGGTGCAACACTGCAGCAATTTATGTAGGTTTTGACTTTGAACATGGAAATTTGCAGACCAAGCATCAGGATATTTTTATTAATCTGAAATAATAAATTTAAAATAAATTAACCTAGGCATGAAAGAGCACTTAATATGGTGGTATTTGTGACAGGCCCAAGACTGTAATGGAATTGTGGGCAGGACAATCTGCTTTACATTAGGATAGTGGTTGTGACATACAGGCACAGTATGCCAGGAAGAAAAATATGCTGTTCTACTGACTTTATGCCACCTTCCTTGTTTTGGTGGGGGCATAACAGGAGCCTGTTTCTATGTTAAGTAATGCATCATTTCTAAGCCATTTGGAATCCAAAGTGGAAGGCGTAGTATAAATGCCTTGTCTAATGCTGTTAATTTACTAGAAATAAGTTCTGTATGAAATACTTTGTTTGAAAGAAAAGACAAGAAAAACAAATGTACGGCTGGCTGCTGTCCCTGAATAGTTTAGTGATTGCTTGGAGTGTGACACACTGAAATGTTCCTGTAGGTTGTTAAAACTGAGATGTGTATCATACAAAATCCTAGCACATATTTCATAGAAATATGTAGATGGGAAAGCACCACCCGGGGACCATCCAGTCTTACCTCTTGATCAGTGCAGGTCCAATTAGAGCAGGTTACACAGGGCCATCTCCAGTCAAGCTGGACTGTGTCCAAGGATGCTGATGCCACAGTGTTTCTTGGCAACCTAGCCCACCATTTGACAATGCTCAAGGTAATTTTTTTCCCCTCATATTGAATCGGAATAGTTCAGTTTGTGTCCATTGTCTCTTGTCATGTCCTTGTGCACCTCTGCAAGGAGCCTTGTTCCATCTTCCCTAAACCCTCTTATTAGGCTGGTGCAGGCAGCAATAAGCTCTCACCTCCTGCTGCTCTTCCCCAGTCTGTGCAAACTCAGCTCTCTCAGCTTCTTGTCTATCTTGTATATCACACTGCAGCCTCCCATTTGTCTTCCTTCACTGTTTCAGTATCTGTCTTGTCCTGGGAAGACTAGAGCTGGACCATTGCTCCTGATGCAGTCCCTCAAATGCCAGGAAGAGCGAAATTACCAGGTCGCTCGATCTGCTGGCAGTGCTTCTCTTAAAACAGCCTGGGATGCTGTTGGCTGCCTTTTCTGCCAGGGCACACTGCTGGCTCATGATCAGTTTGTCCACAGGGACCTCCAGTTTTTTCCCTGAAAACAGACTTTCTAGCCAGTTGGCCCCCAGCCTGTACTGTTGCATGGGGTTATTCCATCTCAGAGGCAGGACTTTGCATCTTAGTGTATTGAATTGTAATTATAGAATTCAATGTATTGAGTTATAATTTTTTACTTGTAAAAATTAATAGCTCTGAGTTTGTCATTTGGGAGTAGCAGTGGTGTGCCTTCTGAATAGTCTAAATAATTCAGAATTATGCATAACACGACTCATTTTTGGATAGCCAGTTTAAGAAAACTACCTAAAGCTGATGATATATCAGGTACATCCTGGCATAAATAAATTACAGAAATCATAGTAAATTACCAGAGAAAGGATAGCAAATTGTTTCCTGAAAGCTGGTAAATTTTTCAGACTAGCAATACTTCATTTTTCTTTTGTACATTTATAAATGAAGAAGGCTGTGCTAATTTGGAGGCAAAACCAACACTACTTTGTGGCTATTCTGTTTATTGATCAACTGAATATTTAACTTTTCTTGTTAGATTAATATAGTGGGGAGTATTTTTATTAATGAAGGGGTTTAAACTATACTTCATTCTGAGGATATTGAAATACCATTTAATATTTTCCAGTGTTATGATTGGATGTTGAATGATTTCTGTCTAATGGCTGCTCATGACTTTCACGTGTACATAAATTCTCAACTAGAAATGAAAGACTTTTTATATTGTATGTATATGTATTTTTATATTGTATTGTATGTCAACATCTATAAAAATATTTTATAGACTTTAAGAATTTTAGAATTATATGAACAATTTGGTTGAAAATAATTTTAGTTTTAGTTCGGGCTTTTTTGACAGTCATAATGAAGATGGTTTTCTTTGTGGTACTAGAAACACCCTTAGAGAAAATACAAATCTTTATTTATGCTTTCCCCCCACGGTTAATTCATTTGCCTTTTTTGAGAATCTTGAAATTTGTCAGAAATTAGTCTGGGAGGATGAATTCAACAGATCTCTGTCCATGGTCTGCTGCATCTTGCTCCAAAGGGCTGTATGGCTGCAATGTTAGGAAAATTTGGCGTATTGTAAATTAAACCTCAGTGCTGCGGGCTCTCAGTTAGGAGATGTTATCCAGAAAGCAGGTATTTCTGGTTCTGCCTGTGATTTTCAGCTGATGACCCCCTTTGCTAATGAAGCATGCAATCCTAATTTGGCATGGGCTGCAGGTAGGATGGTCCTCTTGCAGGTGAAATGTCATTTGCCACATTTTGCAGAGTATTAGTCCGAGCCTATATTTGGTTGGCACCTGTGCTCCAGAACTGGCATCCCACCTTGTGAGAAGGCAGCATGCCACTCTGACAGATGGGGAGGAATGTGAGCATGCCAGCAAACCAGTGTATGCATCAAGGGGTCACATTTCTCTCCAGGAATGTTGAAATACCGGTACACGCAGAGCTTCTGTATCTGAGGCACACGTGTTTCTTGGCAACGACCGAAGTTCCTGCTGAATATCTTGGCACGGGACTAAGGAAGCTTAGTGAATTTTCATGGCTTTCATAGGGTTTCTACACCATGGGAGCCTACATATAATTTCTGCTAAGAATGGCCCTGTGAATGTAAACAGAAGAGGGAATATATTTTGCAAATTATTCTTTCTTATTAATAGATTAAGAACTGTTAAAATGCCATCATAGCTTTCATGGATAATTATTCTTTTGATTAGTTAATGGTTGGTTTATCCTGGTCTGAGAGCAATAGAACGTGTGGTTTGGCAATCAACCCAAAATGTGAATGTCACAGCTTAAACTTCTACCATTTCTTTCTTGTACTTTATTTTGTTTTAACTTAAAAGTAAATTCTGGAATCCCATCACACTTTTGTGCTTCATGAAGAAATTAGCTTTTTTCTGTGTTCCCTTAACGATATAATGTATTAAAATTAACTCTGGGATGTTCCTTTCTTTTCCTGAAGGTAATTCTGAATGGTTTATTTCAGTATTTTTACTTTTTTCCTCCAGAATTACTGTAAAGCTTTTCTATTTCATCCATTACAGCACAGTGTTTTTCACATTTGAATAGCTGCATCAACATGAATCCTTTATAAGGACCTCAAAAACAAACTTTGCCAAGTCCCAGAATACAGAAGCTGATTCACATCCCAATACTCAGCTGCCTCATGAATAAAGGAGAGTCTGTGCCTGACACTTTGAAGCTGTAGCTGTTAAACCATACAGACTATTTACCTCAATAAATCATTATAAGAAACTAAGGTACAATTATACCCACAGAGAAATAGAATTCAAAACACTGATTTATGTGGTTCAGTGCCTGTTCCTTTTTCCATCATGTTTTGAATTTTATGCATGTTTGTCATCTTTGGCTGCTTCCATGTATCTTTAAACTAATGGGTCTTGCTTTTTTAACATTCCCCATTAGGTTTGTTATTTTACTTTGACATACAGACATGATTTGCACGCTGTACAAAGTTTTGCATTTAAAATTAACTATCTAATTTCTTGTGCTGTAGACCAAAAATGGAAAATGTGAGTAATTTGTTTAACATATACCCTTCTCTGGTTAATTTGTGACCATCTAAGCTGAAATTCCATATTAGCTGAGAAATTTTTTGTTGCTTGTTTGTGAGATCTGCAGAGAAATCAATATACAGAGGAATCTATCATTGTGTTTTTCAGAATGTGCCTGCTAATCACAAGGAGATGGAAGCATAGGAAGTTACATTTGGAATAATTTCCTCAATTTCTGCACCCCTTGAAGAGGCAAAATGAATCCAAAAGATAAAAATTCAGTGAGATGAAAGTGCAGCCTCAGAGGAAGGACAGCACTGAAACCAACAAATAATTCCATACGAAATGGTAGGAGTAAGGTAAATAGGTATATGAAGGGAAGCCTGAGAGCAGCCACAGACTTTTGGGCCACCCAAGCCTTCAAGAGAGTTCAGTGTTGTTCTATAGAGCAACAGGGTGGGGGAGTGATTTAATAACCAACAAATGTTCCTCAGTAAAACTTCAGATAGTCACCAAATATTTAAACCAACATTTCAAATATGAACAATTGTAAATGTGCTACAGTTCCAAATGCTTTATGCCTTGCTAATAACTTTCAGTGCTGATGCTTGGATGGATCCAAACAGTCCGAAGTGAGGGTGTGTCACGCCACCTGCCTGATCCCAGGGGTTTGGATCAGAGTAGTACTTCTCTGCACTACTGAGAGGGAGCTATAAATCCATAATTATTTCTGGAGTGATTTATAACATGAAAGTTTTCTGGCTGTGTGTATCTTTCATCTATCCAGCTAAAAAAGCTGTGTCTGTTGTAGACAGGTTTGGCCATTTCAGGCTGTTTTTCCTTTATGGTCGATAACAGTAGTTTGAGTGAGAAGCCTAAACACTCCATCTGTATTTTCAATATCTTACACTGAATTTCATAAGATATTCAATTCATAAGGGAATATGCATCTATAATCTTTATATAATACATGAGTAACAGCACACAGTCTTTTTCATGCAGTCTGTGATTTGCATATATATGTATATGTATATAAAAGTCTTACTTTTTGTTGTGTTTTTGTCTCTATGAATTGATAGAAATTTTGTGAGGAAACAATATTATACCTAAAAATTTCTGCATGCAAATGATGCTATTTATCGAGCACTGGAAACTTGTATAGGGTGTTCCATAACCTTGTCCCTAGTAATCCAAGGGTCTATAACATACTGCTTTTACAGTCTGATAGCATTTAAAATGTTTCTGTCATCATATCCATGGAGTTAATGATGTTTTCATACTGTTGAAATAGAGGAATTCTTTGCAGCACAAGTCACATAGTAGCCACACTATTTCCACTCCTTACAGAACAATCTGCTTATTAAAACATATTCATTGAAATTCCATTATTAAAGCTACATATTCTAGGGCTTTATACTTTATACTTATACTTAAATGTTATTTTTTCTCAGTTCCTAGTGCCCTAGAATAGAGATTCCTGCTCAGTTATAAAAAGAGCAATGTCATCAATGATTAAAATTCATAGGTATTTCTGTAAATAAAATTTAAGATTATTAATGTTTCACATTGTTTTATAGTTACCATGTAACAAAGAGCCATTTCATTTTGCAATCTACTGAAAAGAATCTCATCCTAAGTTGAAAAAAATTCTGAAACATTTTCAGCACTTTTTAAAATTTCAAATATTTACTAGGTTATGTTGGCTCAGGTGACTTTGCAACTTCAGTTTTTCAGTTTTCTAAGCAACAAAGAGAAATGCATCCTGAATGCTATATAAAAGCTTTCAAAGTTGGGGATTGTTCACAGTGAAAAACACACCTTCTCAACTACTGGGATGACACAGAAGCTCAGGAAATTGATTCTGTCAGAACTCAGACCAGAAACTATGGCATGTGAAACTTTGCACCAGCTCTCAAATAATACGCATTAAAAAAAAAAAAAAAAGACTATTTTAATTCTTGGTAAAATCTCTTACCAAAATTTCAAAGGGCTGTGTACTCTCAGATGTGTCTCAGGTTTGAAACACAGATCTAAAGCACTGTAAATGCTTTGGCTGTGCATGTTATGTTTTATTTATGTAATTGTGCAGGTGTAGCCAGCGCATGGATGTAACTTTAGTAGTGTAGATGGGTCATGTCCATCTTCGCCAATGAGGAACTTCACATGTAGAAGGCAGCCTTATGATCTCATCACAGTACAGGGCTTGAGCTAATTAAATTAAATCAGTGTAATTAGGCATAACTTTTGTATGCAGACAAATCTTCAGCATTGCATGAACACAGACCAAGAATAAACTTACTCAGTTTACAAAACAGGCTGTTAGCTGCAGCCTATCACACAAATAGGGAGATGGGTTTTTAAATAAACTTAATGAGTTAATGATGTAAAACTGGATGTGTTAAGGAGGGCAAGATATGTCCCAGGAAAACACTGTGAATATTAACCTTAGGCACCTGAACCAATTTGTTGAGGTTGGATGCTCTTTTTGTTGCTAGTTTGCAAAAGTAGTAGCAGTAAGGAAATACAATTTTCTACAGATTTTTTACAAGCTTCTTTTCTATTAGCAGATGCCTTTAACTCACCAAAACTTTAAGTTCAAACAAACATTCTTTAATTCTAGCAATAATTCTTCAGAATATCTAGGGATTATATATAATAGATTGTGAGTATAGCATAAGCAAACAAGGCATCAGTAATAACCTTCTAGCATGGTTTTATCTGGATGTACTGAATTACAAGGAAAACAGTTTTGGATTTTTTCCTAAATCTCGTGGATCACGGATTGGGTGTTTAAAAGTGGAAAGGGAGTAGCCAGACAAAGGAAAAGAAGCAACATAAAAAGCCTTAAGTTTGCATGAGTTTCATTATGCTGAAATCCTGACCTCAAATCAATAAGAAATCCTTTATCTGACACATATTGAGGGATTATAGACTCAACATTTTAGAGGATGTGTTTGAATAGCATTGACATCAATACCTTCTGAAAACTGCAGGTGGATTATGAGCTGTGTACTGTTTATATCTGCAAGTACAAGCAGCTGAAGAATTATTTCAGTCTGTCTATGCTAGTTTTGCAACTATGTTATGTTTATTTCTTAGGAAATAATTACTAAGGAGTATGTGTGGGTGTCTGTGTTGGCCAAGTGGCTAAGGCATAGGCACTTTAAAGGTGAGAGTTTTCCTTGCAGTTATGATGGTTTTTGCAGATGGTTTTTGCTTGTGGGGTAAATCAAGTCCTTGGTTTGTATCTGTTTCTTTGTAGGTGTAGCATGTGTAGACACAGCAATGGTTTATTGGCAGCACTCAGTGGCCTATTACATGATGTGTTTTAATATTTTCTAAAGGTGCGTGTAGTTACCTTTAAAGGTACAACAGGGCTCTGCTAAGTGTTGGGATTTGAAAAACATTTCATAATGGGCTATGCTTCTCTTCCAAAAACGCGATGTCTTCCAGGAATCTCCGCTTAGTGAGTCTGGAAACCACAGTGAAGACATGCTGCTTAGGCCGTTGTGTTTGAAAAGGACCAATACAGGCTGCTCTCTGCATTTTCAATTGTTCAAACAACTTTGGTTTGCTGTGGACAGTGTTAAAGGTGCTGAATGCTTCAACGCAATAACCATTTATTTGGATGCTTTGTGAGCTGCACCACTTATTCTGGAACATTTAAAACAGTGTTTATTGGATAATCTTTTATCATAAAATGTTTCTTGGACAGCTCTTAACATATATTCTGTGTTAAAAGAAAGGGATAGACACAAATATATACCAAAAAGAAAAACGGAACTTGAAAACAGAAAAGAAGGAAAATTACTGTAATGAACAAATCATTGGACTAAACCACACATATTTTAAATTCAGAATGCTCTAATATTTGACTTAGGAGACACCCATTCCAGAAAACCTTTGGGAGTCTGCACTGTGTCTTGTCAATTATTTTAACAATTTCAGCCTTCTGTTCTCTTTTGATGGCCAGCTGTCCTAAAACTGAGAAATGCAGGGAAGCTGTACTTTTAAAGGGGACCTTAGATAATAGATGCCTGTTTTCTCCTTGGTATTCAGGAGGAAAAGGTTTTGCATATTGAAAAAAACCTGTGATATACTTCTAGAAGGATGTTTATAATATTCCTAAAATTAGTCTTCTGTTAATTTTCATGTCAAATGCAAAGAGACTTACCAGTGGCAGCAGTTCTTGTTAATGCAAATCAGGATAGCTGTGGACTAGTGAAAGTAAAAAAGGAACAGCCCTGGATCTGCTGTTATAATATTCCTTCTGTTTGACAAGTCTATGCATTATATTTCATGTATATTTTTCATACACACTTTCTGTTTTAAATAAGCATTCAGAGCGTTCTCCTTGACTGCCACTGTGAAATACAACATTTAGGTCTGTGTTTAAGTGATACATCTTTTCTTTTTTTTTTTTTTTTAAATAGAGTTTTAAATCTACATTTACTCATGTTTCTGTCAGAATAAATGAAAACTTTCTGTTTTAAGGACTGATAAAGTTTGAACACAATTCATGTGTGATCAGACTTTAGCAGGTAAGTTTTTAGCATGTCCAAGGCTGTGTAAGGGGAACTTACTTGGAGCTGTTTATTGTTCTGGCTGGTGTCTTCAGGCAACAATAAGAATGACAAAATCTCTGCTGGACAAAACAACAAAACATGTAGTTTGGTGATAGTTAAAGTAAAATTGTGGGCAAGCATGCTTGCAGGAATATAATAAAAGAAAAAGGATAGGTTACAGCTAAAATAAAATCTTACCTTTTGTTGGAAGATTGTTCTGAATTTAAGCAGGTGGAGAATTCTTTCAGGGTTTTCACAGTGCTAGTACATCTCTGTGGAGTGCAGCAAAATACATCTTTTATCTTGTTTAGCATCTCTGCTAAACAGTATAGCCTTTATTTCAAACTATCACTTTGTGGTCTCAGCAGCAGCATGGTGACAGTGATGGTGATACCTGTGTGTGTTTGAAGTGGAACAGAGATGTTGGTCAAAGACTACAACACCAAGGCAAGCAGGGGAGCTTTGAAGTTGTCTAGAAGGGTGGTGCTGGATCTTGGAGTGGGCTTTGATTTCCCTATTTCCATGAATGTTTTGGCCTTTTCTGTGCATACATCTTATGCTACTGATCACTTTTGCTTTGACTGACGCAAAATTCATGTCTTTTGTCAAGGAGGCAAGGATTAGGATTAGAGAAACAGCCAGTAAAAGAGAACTCTACACAGTTTGGCATAGGAAGAGATGTGTCAGAAAGACCATGAAGAAATACAATTTTTTTGTTGTTGTTGTGCTGGCCCCTCTTAGCTTTTCTTATAATAGACACTAATTTTACTTCTGTTAGAAAGCTGTGAATTGTTTTTTGCTTTCTGATTATAAATGTTAAGATACTTATACAAAAATATATATCTATATTATCCAGATAGAACAAAAATATTTAGTTTGTATGATTAGAAATCTTCTGGACAATGGTTTTCATTGGGAAAAAAGCCAATAGTAAAATTTATGAACATGCATTTTGCTAGGTCTTAATTAGCAGCTCATTAACAGGTAAAGAGTATGGTCAAGTAAGGTGTTTTTGTGTTTTTTCAAAATGCTTGGATTTCTTCAGGAAGTAAAATCATCAGTGTGTATCTTCTATGTATGTATTTGTCTTCCCATGTCTTCATGCATATAAATATACATCTATATCTATATTAATATCAATATCTATATTTATAAATGCATGTATCTGTTGGAATGCAAATATATGTGTGTGTAATGTAATGGCTGTGACCATATAGCCATTCTCTTACCTTCTCTTTTTCCCACATTCTACACCTTTATTCAAGCATTACATTATTTCCTCACACCTTTTGTTTCTCTTGTATGTTAAACTTTGGACTTCCCAGGATAGAATCTTCCTTTTACTGTGTATCTTCTATTTATGAGTAGTGCTTGGTAGAATGGAATGCAGTTGTGAATTGAGTTTTCTATGCTTTGGTCATTTTGTATCACAGCTAAAAGTGACTGAATTAATTTTGTTGGGATAATAAAAATTAATGCTGACTGTTGAGCAATCAATCAGAGATAACAATCTTTTACATATGTAATGAAATTAACATGCAGACAATGGCTATTTTTATCTTTGATGGTGGCTTTGTTGTTCTTGGATAACAATATAATTAATTTTTTATCAATAAAATTAAATATTTTTCATATCAAAAGAACAATTATTTTTAAAGTTTTGGTGGTGGTGATGAAAAAAAATAAGGAATTCTAAATCTAAGGTTACTTATTTGGAAGTGTGTGATAACATACTGAAGTAAATTAAAGCTGCAACATGAAAGGCAAATATTGTTGCACAATTTTTTATTTTTTTTTTGCAATCTGCTTTAATGAAGGCTCTGTGTGCAACAGACACTTCGGAGCAAGGGAGAAAGCCATTGATAGTGAAACTTGGCTTATAGAACCACCTTTCCAACTTTAGTTCATAAACTTCTGGTCAAAAAAATCGCTTGAAAATGTTTTTCTTGGTAAAGGCTAAAATAATAAATTACAGTGCCTACTGGAATTATGTATATCTGTTATTTTTGTATGTTGTGAGTAGCAGATTGGAACCATAACTGTTTCCATTTTAAAGTACAACTATTCAATGTGTAAATAGGTAAGTACTGTGTATTTAAAATAATTTTAAAATTCTAAGAAAGACACCGAAATACAATATGTAACTATTTATAATTTAATGAAGAATTCTTAATTTCAAATGTTCATATCTGTAATTCCTGAGAAACATGCAGAGTGTACGTATACTTACAGGTACTTTTAATAAGTGTGCAGGAAAAGAGGTTCTAGTCCAGGACAGTATGAATAAGAAAAAAACCCTTCTAAATTTTTCACACTGTCCTATAAGCAGCCCAGTTCATATTCTTGCATCATAATTAGTTGGTTTGTAATCCTGGTAACAATTTAGGATGGAGGAGTTGCTTTGATTTCTCTTTGTTCTCTAAAGATTTCACCTTTTATCTGTCTTTCCACAGGAGAGCTAAGATTTTGGGTCTGTTCGGTCTGCTCAAAAAAAAAAAGAAAAAGACAGCCTTAGTTTCTATGGTCCTGGTGTGTTGGTTAACTACTTTCAAGCTTTTATAATACTAAAATTATGCAGTCAATAAAATAAGCCAATTTATATTTGCTGTACTGATATGCAAGTGCAGATCTGAAATTCACTGTGTTTTGGAGGGGTTTTATGACTTCCTTTTTGTGGTACCAAAACATCTAATCAGGCAAGGACATATTTCTTAAGGTATTACAGGAGATGAGGGACAATCCAGCAGATTTTAAAAGATCACTGATTAGCCATGAATTTTCCCAGTGACCAACATTCAATAAAGAGGACATTTGATATCATGAACTCATTACAAAAGGAGACTAGTGATTTCTCCCCGCTTGTAATAACCTTTTAAGGAAAGAAACGTGTTACTGTTTTGGAATACTATATGTGCTCTAGTAAATTAAGGTGGTTTGTTCATAATTGTATGATTGTGAAGTTTCCTATGTTTATATCACAATTTGTTCTGATGGCAGGACTGTGAGGAAGCATGCTGGATTGAACAGCCCTGTGGCACACAGCATGGGATAATTGCCAAACATTGCCTCCATCATCTGCTCTGACGACAGCAGTTCCAGGATGCCCTAAAGGTACACAGTTGTATATCTACACATACTGATTAAAGAGAATATTGGTCAAAATCTGGGCACTCCACTCTGTGGACACTGGCTTAGACAAGAGTTATAGTTTCTACGTTAAACTAATGTACAAAAGAAAGACATTCTGTTGTCCTTATATTTTTATTCATATGTCTACTGTTAAGAAGAAATTTCTGCTTTTTTTTTTTTTTTTTTATTGTTTGGGGTTTTTTTTTTGTTTTTTTTGGGGGGGGATTTGTTTGTTTGTTTTGATAACAATTAAGAAGTGTCTTGTTTCTGACAAATTCCCTAAGGAAATATGTTGAATCTAATTAATAAGATGTTGAATCTAATTAAGATCATCCACTAAGGGTGGTTGAATCCTTGAGCTGTGCTCCTACAGGCAGCTTGAGTTCAACTGACTCGATCTGCTTGACTAACAGAAATCCAGTTTTGAGGACTGCTACCAAATGTATATAAACAAAGCTGAGCAGAAAGACATGGCATTTACAGGTGTTTTTGTAGCTGTATCATAAAAGTCCATGTTATATTTTCCCAGCCTCAGGGATGCCATCCTATTCTTCACCATTCTTCCTGCTTGCTCAAGGACTTAGAAAGTACAGCAGAGCAATGCTGCTAACAACAAGAACAAATCAATACACATCCAAATTGGATTAACCAAACTTTGCTTTTATTATCTCAGCCAGAGCAGGCAAGTAAACAAAACTTTAAAAATTAAGTTCCTTACTTTCCTTCTCCTCAATAACTGTACATAGGACCAGAGGACATCACACATTAAACTTTTATTTCTGAAAAAAATTTATTTCTAGAAATGTCATCCAATAATTCTCCAAATCTGAAAATGGCTTGATTATATGTGAATTACTTTTTCCTGCTTTTCTCTTCTTTGAATTCCTCTGATTTGCAGATTTTCCCCTTGAAGTATCCTTTACACTTTTTCCGTAATGCTCTCCACTGCTGTCCGGCAGAATGTGTTTGTGTTAACCTTTAACATAACTTGACTACACTACTTTGATTTTGGACATCTATTTTTGTATTTGCAAATAATTTGTACTAATTTCCTGAATTATCAGCAGAAGACAGGAAGTGGGAGCACAGAAGTATCTGTAAATACTGATTTATCCTAGTTACATACAAAGACCTACTTCCTAGTCAGTGTATATCTGGGAACAGTCCATGTGTCACCTTGTCTGTTAGAATTCTTTGTTCTGGGTCTTTTTGGCAAGTATATGGCCAATATAAATTTTTCTAAATTTTTTAGGTGTTTTCCCCAAAATCAGTGACAGATTTTATCTTCCTTCCAACTAGTACAGTCAGTGGGAAAGGTAAGGCTACTAACTAGTATCTGTTCATTTATGTACTTCCAAATACCCTATTCTCTTTTAAGAATTAACACGCCAATCCTAATGTAGCTTCCCTGCAGCTTTTGTCTGAAATTTCCAAATAAATTTTTTACAGAGACTTCTTTTCTTGCTGCTGTTACTGTAGTCAGCATATTAGACTTTGTCTGTTTTGTTTACAGTCTGAGTGCAATATTAGAAATCTTTTTGTTCTGGACTTCATATCTCCTAAGTATTTTTCTTCTTTCTTTTAAATTCAGTTATCCAGCACTTCATCATGTGTATATAGCTGCCCTTACAAATGCTAGCCAGATAAATCTGTTTGTTCTAAAAATTTACATATCCTCAAGTAAGAAACTTCATATTTTGAGGGTGTGGGATGGCAGAATTTAGATATTTGCACAGAGGAAAAATGTGCTGTTTTCCATACTATTAATTTTCCAAATGCTAGCTCCTACTCTTGTTGGTTTCAGTCTTTTTCAATCCTTCTCAAACAGCATCTGCCTTATCTTCTCATCTACACAATGAAGGCTTAGAGAAGAGAAATTTGCTCACAAGTGTGATCTGTGTAGCTCAGGAAGGGTTTTTTCATGGCCTGTTATACCATACAGAAACTCTGCTAGATATCTTTAAGACCATGAAAGATTTTTTTCTTTCTTCTTGACCCGTGTATATATATATA